AAATTTGTCAGTTTGGTAAAAAAATACATAATTAAAAAACAGTAAAAATATTTTTTTTCTATACAGAGAACTTCCTGTGCTATAATTTTTTTTTAATAAATACATCAAAGCTCCTCAGTTGAAAACACTAAAATGACAGAAAGGCTGTTAAAAACCTCTTTCCTCAGAAAGTCTTCAGTCCTAAGAACACTAAACTGTAACTTTTAATAAGGTCATGTACACAGTTTACCCCTATATGAATGAAAATGTTTGATCTGTAAGCAGAATGGATGTTCATTTTTGCTCTCTATTTCAAAGAAGAGGAGGATGAGGAGGAGAATGAGAAAGTTTTACTCAAGCAGCTCCTGAATCAACCTGGCTGACTGAGAACATTTATATATAGTAAACTTTGTATACAGAACAATACAGCCTACTTATTAAATTACATTTCTAGAGTTTTTTTGTTTTTTGGAGAACCAGATTTTGTCAACAGGTTGTCCGCWGGACAACCGTAAAAAAAATCCTTATGTCTACCCCTGTCAACACAGGAGTAGGGATTTCCTGATGCAGATACTTTGGCTCCCGATATAATCCGATTTTTTAATGATTAGTCTTTCCAATACCGATCCCATAGCTTTATTTCTTTCCAAGTGAAAAGGTTGGTAGTATTAAAGCGAGCCCTGCTRWTCCCACCACGAGAAACATCTAGTTTGCAGATTTTGCAAGATGCAGTTTCAGCATCAAATGTTTTCCATTGAAAAGTGTTCCCACACTGTGGACATGGTTACATACTTGTGTGTGTCTTGACTTCTTAACGGCAGTTGTAAAGCATGATGATGCTGTAAACTGTCATGAAAACTGGATCAGCCCGATCACGACTAAATCCGATTCTAACCAATTTTCAAAAAACGGCCATTTTTGTCACCGAAACCGATACTGAAGCTTGGTTTGTACTTCAATAAGACGTGCAACAGCGGTTTGTTGATTGCGTAATTTAAGCGCATCTTTTTCCTGATTAAGTATAAACAAGCTGCAGACGYGGTGGACATAAATGATCATATATCCTCCCTCAGTTCATATTGAGTATATAAACTACAATAACAATGGCTGGACAGTGTTTTTTYCCCACACAACATCAGTATTACGTTGAGTGAGATGGAGACATTTTATTTTTTTAAGGTGGACAGAAAAAAAGATGTCACCAGCTGGGTGCTCCCACTCCTTGGGACCTGGATCAAACCAGCTGAGCTCCTTTTATA